AAATAAATAAATAACACATAATGGTCTCAGGAGTAGATGGATGGATGGATAGTGCATAAAATAATTTAGAAGCTGTTATGTGGAAATAATTGCATTTTTTATAGTGTATTGTAGTGTGTGCTCATATTTATGTACGACAGATTAAAGACACATTCAGCGAGTATCAGCGAGTATTAAATCTACAGTCAAGATCACTAGACGTGTTATTTTTTCCCCGAACCTCCCAACATTACATGGCGACACTGCCTGTAATGGACCTGCACCGCCGGGACCTGCATACTAGATAAATTAATGAATAAATCAAAATAAATATATTATAATATTATTATAACAACAAAATGAACATAATACCGGATGTGACAAATAAAATTTAAAATATGAATACAAGAAGAGATTACAATTTTTTTAAGAAAACGAAGACAATGAAAAAAGAAATGAAGAAAAACCTGAAAAATAAACTGTAGAATAAACTCTAGTAATATTGCTATTAAATAAGATTGACAAGATTTAATAAAGACGATTTCAAGATCCAGAAAACATCTTAATCAAAATTATGTTATTAGAAAAAAAACTATTACTTACGGATTTTATCGCGATAATTACTACTTTAATTTATTTTTATTATCCCGACATTTCGGGTGCTTTACAGCACCCATGGTCACGGGGGCCTGAGTTGTAATTAAACGCGATAAATTCTGTAAATAATAGTTTTATTCAATGTGTAGTGTTCGCGTAAATTTAAGAAATCATAATTAGAAAAATTCAAAGTGGTGTATTATACCACAACAATTAATTGGTAAATAACTACTTGTAAATAATAATAATAGTAATAATCTTTGTTTTGGTAACAATATGGTTATAGAATGGTGTTTAAGCATAATTATACATATTCTACTATAGTAGTGTGCGAATATCAATGGTTAAGTAACTGTTACAATATTTATCGAAATTTTAACAACACATAAATTATTCAAAATTATTCAGTTGATATGGTAAGTAATTAATTATGTAACAGCTTCAGACGAAATACCAACCAGGTATTTAATCCGTTACGAGCGAGAACTAGGAAATGAGATTTATGAAAAGAATAGATATAAAAGAAAAATTGACCTTAATAAATAAATAATGGAGAGATACGGGAGCATCTATCGCTGGTATAATATAGCTGGTATGGTAAAAATATAAAGTATTTATTGTGATAAAATTGGGAGTAACGGGTACTTGGGAACAATACCTTCAAACAAGTGGCGTACACGAGTTTGGGATCAAAGACATTTATTCTCATAAGAATTTACAAAAAATCACTTAAATGAGAAATACATTAAAAACAAAATACATAATGAGTGTTAGGTAGTAAGTGGTCACCCAGCGTGCCAGGCAAAGTACACAAATATTTTATGTTACAAAGTTATATAAATAGTGCGGGTAGAAATTTTACCATCATAACAGTATTGAAGATCACCCATGCAAACAAAAACAAAAGTGCAAACGAACACAAATACGTGGATTTAAAGATTCTTTGCTAGAATTGACTAGCCATCATAACGAGAATTATTGTAATATTGTTATATTATATTAATTATTAATATGAATGTTTAATGATATTTAGTAACCGTAGTGATGGTTTTTAATATTTATTCGTTTATTATATATTTATTTGTTTGATAGTTTTTTTTGTTTAGAAGTAGTTAGGGTGTTATTATAGTTTGTGATTTTGTAGGCTATTTTTTAACAGTCTTTTAAATGTTAGCATACTTTTAGCTTCCTTCATATCTACAGGCAATTTATTGTATAGTTGTGCGCTTTCATAAGTGATGTTCTTTTTTCCGTAGTTGTTTCTTGGCCGTCACAGAATTAAGTTATTAGCACTTCTTAATATTTTAGTTTGCACATTTTTCTTTTTTGTAAAGGTTAAGTTTTCGTATTAGTACGCAGGAAAAGTATTTGTATGATTGTTCTCTATTTAGTATTTTCGTATCTTTGTATATTTTGGTTATAGACGTCAGGAAATCATAACCGAAAATAATTTTGATCAACTTGTTTTGCGCGATTTGAACAGAATTGAGACTAGTTTTGGCAGCTGATCCCCAGATTTCTACCAGATAATCGATGTGTGGCTTAGCTAGGGAGTTATAGATAGTTTAACGGACTTTTTGTGGAAGGCAGCGAACTATTCCGCGTAGTGCTCCGGTTAAGGATATCAGTTTTTGCTTTGTTTTTTTCAAGTGTTCTTTCCAAGTCAGTCAGCTTATCTAAAGTAAGGCCCAAATACTTCTCGCTTGGTACTTTATTGATTACTATGTCATTAATTTTTAGAGGTCTGAGATCGGGTATTTTTTTATTCTTTGTTGCAAAGATCATATAGTTTGTTTTGGCTACGTTTATTGTTAGTAGATTTGAGCAAAACCACTTATTTAGTATGTTTAGATCATTTTGCGCGTCTTTATTAATTGATTCAATATTGTTACCGAAGTAAAATAAGCTGGTATCGTCCGTATATAGTGTTAGGTCTCCTTTTAGCTCTAATATGCTTACGTTATTTATGTAAATAAGGAAAAGTAATGGTCCTAAAATAGAGCCTTGAGGGACACCGTACGTTATATGTTTTAGGCTGCTTTTGTGTTCTGCAAGTTGACGGTGGGAAAGTAACGTATCTGATAACGGTCGGAGAGGTATGAATTAAGAAGTTCAAGAGGCTTTGCTGTTATACCTATATCGTGTAACTTATCCAAAAGTTTTTTATGTGAGACTGTATCGAATGCTTTTTTTTAAATCAATGAAGATGCCAAGAGCAACATTTTTTTTCATCTATTTTGTTTTTTATTTTGATAACAAGGTCTACAGTCGCTGATAGTGTGCTAGATTTGGGTCTGAAACCATATTGTTTGTGACAAAGAAAATTTATGGAGTTTAAATAAGTCTCAAGTCGGTTATAAAGAATTTTCTCGAAAATTTTAGATAAAACGGGAAGAACCGATATAGGCCGGTAGTTGATGGGGTCGGTTTTGCTGCCAGATTTGTGAATAGGTGTAACCTTGGCGATTTTGAGACTACTGGGAAATGTACCTTGTTCTAGACAGCTATTTAAGCATCGAGTTAGTTCTGGAGCTAGAAGGTTTTAGAAGAGCATTTTATGGACTTAGTATTGACGTTATCAATGCCCGAGCTAGTATTTGGATCTAAGTTGTTTATTATTTTAATTACCTCCTCAACTGGAGCCGGTGCCATTGCCGTTAGTCTTTTATCGTTGTTGTTAACTTTTGCATTTGTAAAGATTTTGTTATCATGGAACTGAAGGGGAATTTTTTGTGCTAGTTCTGCTCCAATAAATGAAAAGCAGAGGTTGAAACATTCGCAAATCTCTTTTGTATCGGTTACCGAATTTACTCCTATCAGTAATTTGGGTGGTGCCGACATTTCTCTAAATTGGTTATTGCTGAGGTTATTTATTAATTTCCACATCTTGGCTGGATTGCATTTATAATTTGTAAATTTCTTGTAGTAGTACTCTTGTTTCATTCTTTGAATTTTATTAGCAACTAGGTACCTTTGTTTTAGAAAGTTTTCCTTGGCGAGTTTATTCTCTGGATGGCATTTGTATTGTTGCCAGAGTATGTTTCCATAATTAATATTTAATTATTCCCTTATTAATCCATTCCTGTTTCCGTGGATTTTTATTTTGAGTTTCTTAACCTCTTACAATTCTCTATACTTTTCATAAGTTTTTTACGTTTGATTTTTCTAGCGTTTCATATAGTTTTTTGTAATCGACTGCTTCGTATTCCATTCTTTCTTTAGGTTCTGGTTTATATATTATTTTATTTCAAAAAAGATCTGCTTATGGTCTGACATAGACGATTCAACAATAATTGCCAGATGGAATTTGTTTTCCTTTAAGTCTGTAGATATATGATCAAGAATAGTTTTACTTTTTGATGTTTCACGCGTACAATACTGAGGAAATATTCTATTAATCATTGAGTAGCCGCATTCTAGGAGTGTATTTTTATATTCTTCAACTGAGCTGTCCAGGTTAAGCAGGTCCAGATTAAAGTCACCAAATACTACGGCTCTTTTTTTATGATGTAGTTGTAATGAAAGAGTTTCTAGAAATTTTGTAACGTTTGTTCTACCAGGCTTGTATACTGCGCCAATATCTAGTGAGAATTTATCTATGTGTATCCACAAGAACTGGTTTTTATCTTTTTCGAGTTCATCAACATAGCAATGTTTAATCAACATAGAATGTTATGGACAAATATTGATCCACCGCCAATAATATTTTTTCTGTGCTGTGTGAGTATATCTTTTCTCTTGGCTTCATCATTAGACTTAATCCATGTTTCAGTAAGAATAAGCACATGTATCGTAGATTTGAAAGATTCAACAATACACCTCAATTCATCGAATTGTCCATGCTTTACGATACTTCTAGCATTTGCGTATAAGAATTTTAAAGATTGTTTATTGGTTATAAGGTTAATATAATTGTTTGTTATTTGGTAAGTAGTGTTACGTTCGTTTGATTTGTCACTGCATGCATCGAACTTTTTTGGTAATGTTTTAATAATTTTTGGTACATTTTTAATATACTTAATACGTATATTTTCTTCTCCCTCTCCAGTTCTACGTTTCAGTTCTCTTTTTAGATGTTTAAGTTGATTTTCTTGAAATGGTGTGTGATCAGCATAAAATTTAATTTTACTATCTTTTATGTTTCCTTTGTTGCGCAAAATAAGCTTCACTATTTCTTCCGAATCAAATGTAACTTTTATTGGACGATTCGTTCCTGGCTTGGATCTTCCAATGGGTACATTTTTTTTGGTTCAGGGCAGTCTTTTAGTAAGTTTTTGATAGCATCAACTACTTTAATCTTGTCTAGATCTATACGTTCCTTGGCGTCCGTTGACTGAGGTTCAGGAATACCAGCAATAAGTATTTTCTTCTTTCTCATGCTTTGGTCGTTTAAATTCAGACAGTATTTCTTAATACTATTGAATTTAGACCAGCGAAAGTAAAGCGGGTTTTATAGATGTATAGCTTGGTAGATTTTTTAAGTTTTCTACATTAGACACCAGTGACACAAATGTATCCCCAGCTTTGTGTGCAAAGTTTTTGAGACTTTGTATTTCGTCTTGAATGTTACTTTGATTTGTGGCTAGGTTTGTTGTCCGTTGCTCAGTCGACCGCATAGCATCTCTAATGTCTTGAATTTCACATCTTATCATTGCGATGTCATTCCTAATTTCATTAGCACTTTCTTTCTGCACATTAATTGATGAAGTTAAGAGTGTCATCATTTCTGTCATTTTTTTCTGAATATCAGAGAGTTGACATTGGACCTGATCATATTCGCCGTCGGAATGCTTGCGTTTATTACGAAAAGTAATCGTTGAGGGTTCGGAGATTGACGCACTGGGCATGTTTGATAGATTTGGTTGGGAACCACTACGCTCAAAGTTCGTGTCGCTTCCAGTAGGTGATCGAAGTACATTCATGTTTACTTCAACGTAACAAACACTTTGGTTTCTATGACGCACGCACTGAGATGTCAGACCGAGTCGAGAAATTGGAGCCCGTACCGTTTACCCGAGGGGTGAGGAGCGGTTACCGCCGGTCGTCAACTGGTCACGCGCAGAGTAAAAAGTAGTAACACAATGCACACGCGTAATGTTAATTACAAGTTGTATGTTATGAGGTAGAGGTTGAAAATAGTTTGACTTTTATAATTTATTTTTTAAGAATAATTAGCAACACGTCCGCTTCGCACGCTCGCGCTCGTGTTGATTTTACGTTAGTTTACTCGTATTAATACTGTTATGGACTAGATAAAACTTAAATTGGTTACCGTTAATAATAGTACATAGAGGTCATATCCTTCATTAGATCATAGTGTGAACTTAGTTTTCCTCCGTGACAATTGTTGGATTCTTTTTAAATTACTTAAACATAGACCTCAAGGTACCCTTTTACCTTGATATAATACGATAAAAAGTTTATGTACCAATAAAATGAAATCAATGTTATAAAAATGTAATATAATACCCAAATAAATAGGAGACCCATATGTATAGAGTACCCGCACGATAAATGTCATGAAATGAAACTGTAAAGATGAAAAGGTAATTGAAGTGAATTAAAACTCCGATTCCCAATATGTAATAAATAAATATATAAGCGAATAGAGAGAAATAAAGCTAACTAAAGGTCAAAAAATACTAAGTAGAAAAAGTACGTACAAGAATTATAAAAAAAAGTAATAAATAGACCTAACAATCGACAACAATATAGGGTAATAGGGTGATCTCCGAACAAATCTACAGGGTTGGATAGGTAGTTATTTGGAATTTCTGTATTAGGACTACATATTACTGCTATCCAAAATGCTACTTGCAAGTTGCATATGTAATAAAAACGCAATCATAGTGCGATTTAATTAAGGATTTACATATATATATATATATAAAAAACTTTTATAGTAAGTATTACAGTTCTCAATCAACTTCCAAATGTACTAGTACAAAGGAAATGTTCACCATGGAAAGTTTCGACTTTAAAACAGACCAAAACGCGCATAAAATTTTACGTCCTTTAAATGAAAAGATTGCTATTAAAAGTACATATGGAGTATATGAGCTTGTTTTTGGGAAACCTTGCCGTTTGCGAACTGTAACCAAGAAATAATTTAATTTTAAGAAAACGAAGTATGATTATTATACAAATCCAATTAAATATAATGCCGTTGATATGGTACTCTTTAAGAATGAACAATGTGTAAACAAATTTGATCATTTTCATATAGGATCATTTAGTTATTTAACCCTTCAATCTCTAAGCGGTCGAATTCGACCGCGGCGCTATTCCGTCTAAATTCAAGCGGTCGGATTCGATCCGCGCACTCTCACAGCATTTTAAACCATTAAAACTTATATTTAGAGACAACTTTTCTATGAAAAAGTTTGGCATTATAGAATTAATATGAAATTTTCTATACTCTAGTGCAATAAAAAACAGTTATACTATGGATATTTATTTATAATCTACGTTCATTTCGTACGCCATTTTCCCGTGAATGTTATCGTGTTGGTTTTAGGATTTTTCTAGTGTTTTATTATAAAATTGTAATGAAAGTTTTGTGTGAATATAATTTATCTTTCTGTCTCGTTGTGATTTTCACGCTGCCGACATTCGCATTGGTATGTTTTGTTTTTGCTATCAAAATACAATAGGCTTTTTGTAATGAAGTAAAACCTGACGAGAATTTTGTATAGATTTTATAATGCCTAGCTTCTTTATAAAAAAGTAGTCTCTAAATATAAGTTTTAATGGTTTAAAGAGCTGTGGGTGTGAGTGGTCGCATTCCGCTATCGGACCGCTCGAAATTTGACGGACGCATGCGACCGCATGGGAATTTTAAAGGGACTGAGAGGTTAAAAAATACAGTGTTTACGATATTTTTATTATCTAATAAGTATGTTGTAGTATAAGAATTTAAATATTTTAAAATAATGTACACCTTTTCTTGATTTTTTTAAACCAAGTTGTGTTACATTGAAAAATTAAATCAAATCAAAATTGAAAAAAAAAATCAAACATGAAAAATGTATGCTTATATGGACGATAGATTAAGAAACATTCAGCGAGCATTAGATCTAGTCAATTAGATCACTTGACGTGTTATTTGTTCCGAACCTCCCAACATAACAGTATTCTTAAGGCGGTTTTTACTTTATACTAAAAGTAGATTTTTTAAAATCATTTGAGTGAACTATGGAATAGCACATGCTCAGTCTACTAACTAGAATGTCGTCTGAATAGTTACGTTAAAAACATCATTTCTCTATTCATCATCCCCACAGGTGAGAATTTTCTCCCAATTTATATAGGGCCCCTGCAGAGACCCTGTAACACTTGATAAAGCAAATAATCATTAGAATCGGTTCACTATTGACAAAGGTGTCGCGTTACATTATATAATAAAAAGAACATACCTACATTTGAATTGTGAACCTATTTCGTTGTTTGAAGTCGCCTTAAACTAAGGTTCGTTTCAATATCAGTTCGTATTTGTCCCGTTTTGATTTGAGTCCTACCCGTTAAGCCTAGTGCGCCGCCAGATTTGTGATCGTATTGAACGTCTCGCACCTTTGACGCTGCTATGGTATAAGTCTTTTTACATCTGGCATAAAGATTTGGTTTACACCATCTATTGGAAGCCATGAATTTTATCTTGGAGTTGTCTCTTACAACACTATCGGGTCGAAATGGGGTGATGAATTCAATTACGCGCAACTATATGCTCATAAGTTTCATAATTTTCTAAAATTCATCCCTACTCCTTCATCGGAGCAGGACCAGTAGTTTCATTACTTTTAACTAATTAGTTAAAACACCAGAGGAATATAATAACTAGCCAGAGTTTGTTTTTCCAACAGATTACAACGTAGATGTCTTTAAGGCAAGAGTAAATTGGCTATGAAAAGAAACTGCGAGTTATTTCCTGAAAAAAAAATCGCAAAATCCCATATGATATGGAAACTAGCGATTTAGCTAAGAATGCTAAAAGGTTTAGGCTTAACACTAAACCTTTTACCATCTTTAGCTAAATCAATAATTTCCATATTATATGGGATTTTTTCGGATTTTGTTTTCAGGAAAAAGCTCGCAGTTTATTTTACCTATGAATGTTATTTAATCACCTATTGTAATAATGAATGGCGACAGTAGCAACTGCTAAGTAACGATTTACGAGAATATTTGTCATTGGTGGTTATGGACCGTACTTTACCTCATCTGCGCATTCTGACTACTGAATTTTCAACTTTATTAAGGCAAACTTGATACAAACAACCTTGAAATACAAAATAATATATTCTAATGACAATCATCATTATCGTCCTGAGTCACCTGCATCCATCGACTTCCAGTATGTTTTACCAGGTCACCAGGTAAACACGGATGGACTCGAGAATCTTTATTCCCCAACGGTTATTGGTCCTTCGAGCTATATGGACGTCTTAATTAAAGATTTGATTTAATCGTCACGCTTGCCTGAAAACTATATTGATGATCGGAGTACAAGACGTATCGCACCTTTGACACTGCCTTTTTTATAGGATAGGGTGACAAACGAGCACACAGTCCACATGATGGTAAATGGTTGCTGTGGCCCATAGACACCTACATGTATCCTCGATTACGGATGCGTTGCAGATGCGTTGTCACCCGTAAGGACTAAGATGGAATACCTCATTTCCAGTAAAAAGGCTCTCTGGTTCTCGACACTCACCATACGAAACACAGCAGCATTAAGCTACTATTTTACGTTGGCATTCTGTGAGAGCGTGGTCCTTCCCCGGTCGAGCCGACCCATTAGTGCTACAACTGTACCACTAACATAACTGCAGCATGGTTCTACCACCTATATGCCTGTCGCAGGTATGAGAACCTTATATCTGGAGTAATCAAGATAGTTGGACTGCCATTTCTTTAATTTTTATTGCATTTTCCAAAGGCTTCTTACGACACCTACGGGATGAAGTTGGGTGATGAATTTTCTAACACCGCCACAATACAGTTGTAGAAGAAAATAGTTTGTAGCATCTAATATGTCCCTTTCATGGGCAAGGGCATAAATTTTCCCTTTTAGTATTTCACACAGTCTAATTAGAATATAAAAATTTACTACTAGCATAATTCCATACGAGTTAATGAACAGAAAAAAAGATAGAAATATATTCTAAAGTAGATTTCGTTAACTGGTGACATTTTCTTATCGTGTGGAATACGCGTTTCGTGAACAGCGCTCTTTAGTTTCTTTACGATCCTATTCACTGAACTGAGCCTGAATGTTTTATCAACAATTTTGTGACTGCTTAGGGCTTATATATCTTGAGATAGAAGTTGAAATAGCCCTTGATTTTTGATTAAAATATAAATATTTCTCTGCGCTCTATATATATGATATATTACAGCTATATAACATACAAAATTATTAAAAAAAACTTTTTGCCTAAAACGTACATAGTGACTATAATATACTATTAATTGCCAAAGTACTTATTCTGAGACATTAGCAGTATGAATGTCAACAGACGACTTGATTTGTCCAAGCGACATTTATGTGTTTGACATTGACAGTATGAACGTAAATAATGTACCTATATTTTATTGCATTATATATATTTTTAACATCTATTTTCAATAAATTTTAGTCCACTCCTCTCAATGTTAACTTTTAACATGACAAATGTAACACTCCTCAGTGCGCGCAGTATGCTTAAAAAGAGTACAAAAATTTCCCTAGTATTAAATATATACTCGACTCTTATCTATTTAATTATATCTTTTTAGATTAGTAGAACTTTTAGATTGATTGACCAGAAAATCCGAATGAAATTTAATTAGTAGTGATGTCAGTTGTTGTGTGGTTCATATAGAACTATATAGTTACCTCGATTACGGTAACTGATGCAATTAGTAAATTAAACTACCTTGT